ATGTCCTTTAACTTTTTTGTAGGAACTATCATATCAGTGTGCTTTGATTCTAAATCAGGTGATTGATACCAAGTTCGCTCTCTATGGAGCGATCTATAAAAGAAAGCAATAAAATCAAATGCTAATAAAGAATTTTAAAGGGGCGCCTGGGTGGCTCAGTCGTTAAGCGTTTGCCTTCGGCTCAGGTCATGATCCCGGGATCCTGGGATCAAGTCCCACATCGGGCTCCCTGCTCGGCGGGAAGCCTGCTTCTCCCTCTCCCACTCCCCCTGCTTGTGTTCCCTCTCTCGCTGTGTCTCTCTCTGTCAAATAAATAAATAAAATCTTTAAAAAAAAAAAAAAAAGAATTTTAAAAAAGGTTTCCCCTCCAAGAGGCAAACTTCAAACCTCCTTCATTTCTTCACCATTAACAATTTTGTAACTAACCTATTTGTGGGATTCCTTGCGGCTGTGTGTGTCCGTGGGTTGCAAGCAGCTCAGTGGCCGTGGCTGTCCTGGTTCCTCGCTGCTGACCACCCAGAGCCTAGCTCTCAGTACCGGGCACATAATAGTTGCTCAGTAAATACTGGCTGAGGTATAATAAATCTCATTTTCAGACATCATTCCTCTCATTTGGCAGAAGCCAAAAGGCTACCAATTCGTCACTGGGCTCATGGCACATGTCTACAAGGTAAACTTTATAAAGATTTTTTACTGAAAAGCACACCAACACCTATATGTTAATTAACTGAATTTAAATAAATTTTTTAAAAAAGAAGACCACAGGTTTTACATGTGGATGGTCCAGCAGCAAAATGGACTTTTTTCTTAATGCACAGTATTTGACTGATTCTAAAGGAACATTTTTAAAACATTCCTGAAATGGAGGCACATCGTATAATAAACAGTATGTCAGAGTTGAAGTGTCAGAGTTTTTCCTCAGGAGTAGATACAACAGCTATGTGTCTTGTAACTGATGGGCTGTGGGTTCCATGAAATGCAGTACGTAAAGAAATCGGGCTTCCGCAGTCCGCTCGGTTGGGCGCTCCACCGCCCTGGGGGGGCAGTGCCGCTGGGCCCCCACAAGCACCACAGGCGTCTCCCCGAGGCTCTGAGTCTACTGCATTCTTGGGCGTCCATCTGGGTGTCCAGATCCCCAGGAGAAATGACAGGACAGCCACTGGAGGGCTCCCCGTGCCTTCACAAGTCTGCCCACATAACCCCAGCCCGGAAGGACCCTACATTCTCCATAGCACAAAATCTCTCTCTTCTAAACGTCCGGTTTCAGAAGCTAGCTCCCCACAAGGCTTTCTCTGCGTTCCCAGCATGATGCATGCACACCTGTCCAGCGTGCATTTCGTGCTACTGTTTGTCATGAAGTTAGCCTCCTTATGCCTCCCCTGTTAGCCTCGGAACTCCCTGAGGTCCAAGAGCATCCCTCCTGACCTTCACACTATCCTGAACCCTGAGCAGTGCTTGGTACGTCAAAAGTGTTCAATGTGTCTGTTGGACTGACCCAAATGTCCCTCTGTCTACAGCTGTTTGCCCAGAGGACCTTCCCGTACCATACAATCAATTCCAAACTAAAATGCCAAAGACCAGAAAAACGGAGGAAAAAGAAGTCTAGTAATTGATTTCAGGAAAAAAGTGGACATTTTAAGTCTCTGAAAACATACCTTTAAATTCCTTTACCATGTGCAAGCAAGCCTTATTAATTCCTCTGCAAACGCTCCTTGCAGGGAATGTCCTGATGACGCCTAATTCCTGATGATCTCTGGTCTGACTGTACCTGAGACCTTCCTGCTTCTGCTATAAAAGATTAAGGTGGCGTGAAGGCATTGGAAGGGCAACCCCTTTGTACCCTGCACCATTTCAGTTACAGATAACCTTCCATGGGCAAAATGAATCCAAACCTTCCCTATCCCATATAAACCAGAAATGCTTAAATATCACCCAAAAAGGAAGTGAAACAATGCACACACGCAACAGAAGATTCTAGGACTCCTGGTCTAGAGGACAGAGGTCGTCCCCGGCCAGAGAGAACGGGAAAAATCAGCAACCCGTGTAGGGCCTGGAAGTAGGGAGGTATCAGGCGCCACTGGAGACCCAGACGGTGCAGGCAGAAGCCAGGAGAACTGCGGGAGCCCAGCCTTTCCTCAGAGAGCACGCCTCCCCTGGAGTAGTTTCTAGAATCCGGACCTGAAACCCAAACAGGAGATCTGGAAAGGGCACATCAGAGGTTTAAACGGGGCTCCTATCGCCTGAACACCCGGAGAATGTGAAAACTCCAGCTCCATCCAGCATCTTGGACCCCAGAGTGCCCTCATCATGCCTCGCAGAGACGACTAACAGCGCAGGGGTCTGCGGCGGGCAGCCGGGACCTGGGAAAACGGAACCAGTGGTCACGGGCGCAGAGGTGACAGGCTGTGGCCTTTGGACCCTGGGCACGAAGAAGCAGCACAAATCCATCTCAGTGCCTCCTGGTGCCTTTGCCTGTGTTTACCAAGCTCTTACTCTTTGCAAAGCAACAACGTCTAGGGAGAGGGGTAAGGCAGGGGCAGGGGGAGGTGTTCAGAGAAGCGTATGGGGCTCAACTGCCAGTCACATCTTTAGTCTCTCTCTCAGGCTCATACCTTTGCTGTATCCCTTCAAACCATACCCTTTCTCCCAAAGAAGGTAGATATTCCCACAGGACAAGAACAGCATGCCCCACAGCTCTGAGTGTGATCACGGGGGACCGGCTAGGAGGAAAAACTTTGCACTTGAGAAGACCTCTCTGTGCTCAGGATCTCTGGTGTCTCTGCCGTCGGAGAGAAGACGCAGACAGCACCGTCTGTCAAGCAGGCCGGGTGCTTCCAAATAATAGAACAACCCTCACCTGCACCATGTGAGTCCCCCACCGGCCAAGGCGCAGGCATGCGGGCGCTCCGCACCGCCAAGCCCGGCAGCCGTCCTGGATTTGCTGCAGGCAGCTCGTGGAACAATGCAGCGGACAAACCCGTTTTCAACAGTGATACAAGGGAATATGCGTGTGTATACACTATGTAAATACCCTCTCTGATTTTATTCCTCTTTCCAATATAAACCTCTATTGGACTAAATCCTCGCTTAATCACCTTTGCTTTTTTTTTAATGTCGTAACATTTAAGTCCATCACTTTGCTATTGATTTTTCAGCAGCTGACCAGGTTGAAACTGCAGACGCCAGGAGCCATCCAACTGGAGCCACTGTGTCCACACGTGCCACGTTCCCGCTCGGTGTTCTGGACCACCAACTCCTGATCTGATCGCCAAGCCTCCTTGTGCCTCTTATGGAACCTCCTTCCCTGGAACGCCTCAGACTCCCCACCTCTGTGTCTCCATGGCCTCCCGCTTTGCCCTCACACCACATTTGAGCTGTGCCAACTCTAAGCCCCCCACCTGCCCAACGGTGCAGTTCCTCTCTGTTCTGAGCCAGATCTGAGACATCTCATCACCTTCCCCCCACCACGGGCCTCATTTCAACCAGCCTCCCTGCCTCCAGGCTTGCTCCTTCCTATGTTATCTAGACGTGGCTGACACATCCACCTTCCTGAAGCATCGTGATCATGTGACTTCCTCGTTCGATACCACTGAGGACTCCTTAATGTGGGAGGGAGAGTCCAGACTCCTTAAGAGTGTCTTTCAAAAAATGAAGTGGGGGAAATCGGAGGGGTAGATGAACCATGAGAGACGATGGACTCTGAAAAACAAACTGAGGGTTCTAGAGGGGAGGGGGTTGGGAGGATGGGTTAGCCTGGTGATGGGTACTGAGGAGGGCACGTTCTGCATGGAGCACTGGGTGTTATGCACAAACAATGAATCAAGGAACACTTCGTCTAAAACTAATGATGTAATGTATGGGGATTAACATAAGAATAAAAAAAATTAAAAATTAAAAAAAAAGAGTGTCCTTCAAAGCCAAACAAGTCTGTGAAATCCCCCTGCTCCCTCCTATAACCCCAATGCCCCCCGTACTCACTGAAACCTACCCAGTGTAAGTCTGCCACTCGAGCTGTCCCCTCCACCTGCGAGTACGCTCGGCCCCTGGCTCCGCACATGCAAACCCTCCAGCCCCACCAAGGTGGGCTGGGTAATGTCTGATCTCCGAAAGCTTTCCCTGGCCACTTGCGATAGAAGGGACCCTTCACTCCTAAGTCCGATGACACATTTTTTTTCTTTACTAGGCACCCCACCCCACCCCCATCTCTAACACACGGACCTTCCCCTCCTGGGAATTCCCTGCGGACTGGCCTCCGTCTGACTGCAGCCTGCACCCTCCTCGGGAACCTAGCCCCAAGGCGGGCCGGCGGCCCTCAGTGCCCAGCACCCAGAACTTGATGGCAGTCGGCCTGAGTGTCCCCCCTTCCCATTCATTCTTGGGCACCCCGCAGGGAGTGCTCCTCACCAGGCAGGGCATTCTCCCCAGCTAAAGCAGAATTTCCCTGCTCCCATCCGCAGGCAGGTGCACAGGCCCACTCGGAACCTGGCCACACGTTCCCGGTCGGCCTGGGCGCGCGCAGTTGTCACGCACCGCACCCTGCGGGCGGGCCCGGCCGCGGAGGCAGGGCGCGCGAGTCGGGCAGCGCCGGGGGCTCCGGGCCGCCGCGCCCACCCGAGGTCAGGGCACAGGGCGGCGGCGCGGGGGAAGCCGCGAGTTCCGCCCTGGGCCGCCCTGTTGCATCCCGGCTCCAAACTTTTGCCGCCGCCCCGACCGCTGCCGGGGATGCCGCGGGGGCCGCGAGCCGGAGAGGAAGGCGCGCGGGACGGGGACGCCAACGGCGGGGGCTCTCGGAAGCTCGGGGGTCGCGGGGGTCGCGAGGCCCGCGTCCGCCGCCCGCGGGGCGGGGCCGGGCCGGGGCGAGAGGGGGCGAAGGCGCCGCCGCGGTGCGGGCGCGGGCGCGGGCGCTGCGGGCGCTGCGGCGCGCGGGCCCCGTGCGCGCCTGCCCCCCGGTGCGCGCGGGGCCCCGGCCGGGCCTGCGGGCGGGCGCGGCCGCTACTCACCCGGAGGGTTGACCGCCGCCGGGGTTGCCATGTTGCCGGGAGGCCGGGCGGCCGGGCGGGGCGGAGGGCGGCGCGGAGCCGGGCCCCGGAGGGCGGGCGGGCGGGCGGGCCCAGGCGCCGCCGCCGCCGCCACACAAAGGCCGGCGCGGGCCCGGGCGCCGCCCCGCCCCGCCCCCCCCGCCGCCCCGCCCCCGCCGGCCCCGCTCCCCCCGCCCCGCCCCCGCCGCCTCCCGGGCCGGCCTTTGTCGCGCGGCGGGGGCGCGGGCCGCCGCTCCCCGCCGGGCCGTAGCACCGCGAGACTTGCGCGGGGTGGGGGCGCTGGCGGGGGGCGCCCCGGGCGCGGGTGCTGGGGCCTGCCCGGCGGGGGGAGCGGGGGCGGGCCGTCCCGCGCTCGGGGGTCCGGGCCGCCGCGCGGAGGCCGGGGGGGGGGCCGGGGCGCAGAGCGGGAGGGGGAAGCAGCCCATTAAGATGCAGAGGGACGCGGGCCCTTGAGGCGCGGGGAACAAAGGCGCCCAGTGCGGCCCGCTTAGCATGCCGGGGCCGTGCCGCCTGGCTCCCGGGCCGGACCCGCGGCCAAGGGGTGAGCGCCCGGCGCCCAGGGATTCCCGAGGCGGGCGCAGCTTGGAGCGCGCTCGGTGCGCCCCCGGCGCAGGCGGCCGGCCCGGGAAGGGGGGATGACCTAGCTCCGACGAGGGCGCCGGGCTCTGCTCCTGTTCTGGCCTAGGTCGTTACCTGCGGTTGTAGCAAGAGCCTTATGGACACGACCAAACGGAGAATTGAACAGATTTTTCAATGTTTTTATCCGCTTATCCTGATGAGGTTAAGCCGCAGAGAGCTTGGAGGGGCCTCTGTTTTCCCACCAGGCCCCCGGATCCCCGTGAAAGCTCCTGGCTCTTAGGAAGAAAACCCACCAGGTGTCAAGCTCACGCGGATGAATGAATACATCCCAGGTGAGAGCCAAGAAGGGCAAGACGGCCCCTAATGTAGAAGTGTTTACAAAAACATCGGACTCTCCTAAATCCTTCCAAAAAAGCATTTTTGGGGGGGTAGAAAAACAATGCTCGGGATGTATTTTCAAATAGGCATTGTCTTTGGGAAATATTTGTCACTATTGATCTGCTAATAGGCGCTTAATGATACTCATTTGGTGATCCGTTGGGCAGACACTGAACGTCGGCAGTATGCCAACTAGGTGCTGAGTGTACCATGGAAAGGAAACCACGGGGGCCCTGTCCTTCCAGGGCCTAGCCTGGGGGTGGGGAGGAGAGGACCCCAAGAAGTTATTTGTACTCAGGAAGCACACAGCTGCTGGGGTGGGTGGGGGTGAATGAATGCAGGCGGAGAGACTGTGGAGTGAGCAGGGAAAATGAAAAGTAGGCTTTGAAGAAATGAGCAGGATGTGGAGAGGCGGATGGAGAAGACCTTTCAAGTGCAGACTAAGGCCTGTGGGCATTTGGCAACGAGATAGGCCAGGCCCAGGGAGATAATGAGAGAAAGCAACTCGGATGTCAGCTGGGCACCCCCCAGCGTCCTCATCTCAAGTAGAATGTCCCCGATTCTCCCAACATCAAGCCAAATGAGAACCCAGCTTCTTTTCTACGTGCCCCAAAAGACAGCACACTCAAATACCCACATGCACGTGATACACATTATAGGACTGAAGATTTCTTAAGGTAAACGCAAGAGGAGGTTCACCTTGTTCACACCACATCAAACAAGGTAAAATCCATCTTAGATGTTCCCTTTTTGGCCCTGCTCCCCACTGACGGCTGTGTCTGGTGGCCCATCTTCATACGGGGCACCCAGCATCACCGCACCCCTGCTTCCACCGAGCTCTGCACCCTCCCACCCTCCACGCTCCTTGGAAGTCAGCAAGCCCTTCTCTTTGGGGGGTTCCCCATCAGCCATGACCTGTGGCTCCCTTTGATATCGTCTGCGAACAGATGTATTTGTAATATTTGCCCTGAAAAAGAAAATTGGGGTGAACATAACACATCACCACGTACACACACATTTAACATGTACACGCGTATTTGTTGACAAGTTTTACTTCCTTACTGTGCTGAGCCCTGCTGCCCATTTTGTCAGTATTACTCTGCAGATATCTTTAATCCTTCTCTTTGCGTTTGTCCTTTGCGATAAAGGACAGGTAGCACGTGGCCAGTTGCTGGGGGTTGGGACACTTCCATAGTCCGCTTCCAGTCTGTCATGCTATGGTTTTCAGTTGAGTAAGAACATGTGTGAAGTTATCAGAAGGAGACATTTCACCCTCTCCCCCAGTCCCTGCACGTCTCAGGGTGGGTGATCTCTGCTCTTGCCCAATTCAGCCCTCACCCTGTGCAGATTAGGGACCGGAGAATCCCAAGGTCACACAGCTTGGTAGCCTGGCAAGACTTGGTACCGGGTCACCCACAGTGCTGGGATTTGGGGGCTGGGCAGGGGAGGTGTTGTGAAGGGGTAGAGAAATGGGGGATCTGGGCCCTTACCTTCTGTCTCGTCTCTCTCTTCTCTCTTGTTAAATAGGTAAAGACCCAGAAACATCCGATTGTGAAGGACAGCCCCCACTCCTAAGTAAACAGTCTGAAATGGAGCAGTTAGTCATTGTTGAATACTGAGTGGCGTTTACACAATACAGTGGTCTCGTGCTAATTATGAGAGCTAGTAGACTGTGACCAGTTAACAGGCTCAGGAATTCCGCTCAACCTTTAAACAACCTAGAACTCTTTTAAATTCCAAAGGAGGCTGTTGAATTGGAAGCTGAGATTTGCATTTTTTAAAAAAAGGAATGAAGGCAGACCCGCTGGGCTCATAGCACGTGATTGCGATCAGTCTTTGGGAGCATGCTTCTCCCAGAAACGCCCTGGGCCGGCAGCCACAATGCGGGTGAAACTCTTGGGTGGGGGGGTGGGGAACGCAGTCGGTCACCTGGCCGCTGCGTCCCATCCCTGTGAGTTCTGACACGAGAGACAGGACTCCCGTTGTGGGATGTGTGATGACCCCAGGATTGTTTCCTGCTCTTCCCTTCAAGATAGCAGGAGGCCAGGAATGAAAGCAGGGCCTTCCTTCCAAAAAAGAGGGCGTGGAAGGGCAGACAGACAGACAGACAGACGGGGCTGCCGTCTCTGCAAGCAGGGGCGTTTCTTCTCTGCCGCACACTGCCTGGCCCCTCTCCCCCTCCCTCACCCCTCCCTTCTTCCTAACTTCTTGCTCTTCGCTGGACAGAGCGGTGGTGGAGCCCCCCAGCCAGCGGGTCTCCCCGCTACTCTCGAGGCAGGGACTGAGCCCAGAGCTAGATGGGGCCGTGGGTTTAGGGGCACACAGGCTTTGAAGCAGAGAGTATGGCACTGGTGTCCTCTGTCACCACCACAGCCTTCGACCCACCCTGGAGCTTCGTGAAGCCTTGCTTTCCCCACCTGTATGGCAGGTGACTCGAACCTCTGCTGACTGCTAGCGTCCATGGACTTGAATGTGGGGATGTTTGTGCTCGGTATACTTGACAGGCTTTAGAAGGTGACTCATAGCTCAGCAGAGAAGAAGGGACGTGTGGCAGGACCCCCCAGGCCCCCAAGAGAGAGATAGAGAGACAGACAGACGCAGAGAGAGAGGCGGAGACAGAAAGACACGGGAAGGGACAGAGTCTCTTGTTCTGCCTCTGGGAGAGTGGGCAGAGGAAGAAGGGGAAGGAGCAGGCTGTCAGACCCACGTGTTCTGACTTCCATCGTCTGGCCTGAGTCCCTGGAGAGGCACCTCCAACGAGCTGATGGAAAAGCCAACAGCCGAGGGCTATCCCCCATTCGGAAGCCCAGGGAGGGAGACTGCACAGGATGGTTCTGCAGGGATGGAGGGTTGCGGCCGGAGAGCTGGGCCCCATGTGGCGCCCTTGGCTCCCTGGGGCCTCCGCGTGCTGTGCCAGGGATCCTTGCATTCCCGCAGGCGAGGGGACACGAAGGTACTGAGTCTAGGCTTCCAGGTTCCTGGGTGAGGGGGACCAGCAGGCCTCAGGGAGCAGGGCTCAACGAACAAGGCTCCAAACCTGGGCCACAGATTTCAGCAGTAATCCAGGCCTCCTTAAGATGCCTTCAGGTTCAGCGGCCAGGTGACCGCCCCAGGTACTCAGAACGGAGGGGAGCAAGAATCCTGGGGCCCTTGCTCCCCACCAGCTGGACACCACCTGGAAGAAGGGGTGGCATGATAAGGGCCGCGGGAGGACCCTGCATTCCATCTGAAGGAGACCACCGTCTCCAGAGGAGATGCTTTCCGTGCTCATGGTGAGAGTTTAGTGGGTTCAAAGGAGTCTAGGGTGAGTGGATTTCTGCCCCTGCCGCGTGGTACAAAGGGATGGTCTGAAGTTAGAACATAACAGACACACACATCTACAGTGAAAATGCCCCATCTGTGAACTCTGAGGGATCAAAACCAAGGAGCAAAGTGTGCACATGCTAGAAACTCAAGAAGAAATGGACGAAATTCCCCACGGCCGGGTAGACTTCAGCCAAGCTCTTCCAGCATGTGATAGATCTAATACACAGCAACTCATGATTAACGTGACATGTGCCGATTTGAGGCCCGTGGTTTACTCTCAGCCAGATCATAGGACCAAAGGGTCTGTTCCACTCGCCCTAAAACAAGTCCTCCCGGCCCCCGGGGGGAGGGCACATGGCTGGGACCCAGTGGGTTTGGAGGCAACATTGGACGATAAAGAGAGGCAGGATCTTCCTCCCTGGAGGTGTCCGTCCCTGGGGAGCTGCTCTCATGCTAAAAGTACCCAGAGTCCGATGGCCTGGGCTTCTCAGGAATAGGGGTGGCAGGTGCTTGCCCCCATCCTTAGCGGCGTTTTCCGGCTTTCTCAGTCGTTGGCAGCATGCTGGTGGTCTTCCCTCCCGCACAGAGTGGTGTAAACTACACTGTTTCCCGATTGTGGCTTCGGAAGCCAGTCGGCCAATGTGCAAACACTCCACTCACCTATCCCGTGGCTTACACTCTCTGTGCCTCAGTTTCCTCGTCTATGAAATAGGGATAAAACAGTACTTACCCCAAAGGGGTTTTGTGAGAACTAAGTGAGCTAACATTTGTGAGCGGCTTAGAA